CCTTAAATTGGCTGATTTGGTCTTACATTAAAAGTGACATATAAATTGGGATTTATAAACTCGAAAACTGACATGAAAATATTAAAATGTGTGTGTGCGAGAGAGAGAGAGAGAGGGCATCTTTGTCAGAGCTAATCGCCGATCCACTAAGATAAGATAAGATAAAGATAAATTTTATTGATCCCACAGTGGGGAAATTCACTTGTCACAGCAGCTCACAGACAGTTAAAGTGCAAGAAAAAAAAGAAGAAAGAAAAGGAAGGAAAAAAGGAAGGAAAAAGGAAGGAAAAAAGAAAAGTTAAAACTATCACTGTATATACACCTTAGGAATAATGAAAGAAATAATATTCTATAAAATTATTAATTACACTCCCCATAAACATTTCTAAACTACAGCCCCAATAAAGTTGCCTATAATAAAATGCACTAAGCGAAAGGCAGCGGTGGGATTCGAACCCACGCCCCCGAAGAGACGGGAGGCGTAATCCAGCGTCTTAGGCCACGCTACCAAGCGGTCGTGTTGGCACCGAGCCACAAACCTCCGAACTTTAGTTTTAGTAAACTCCACAGTTTTGGAGCCAATGAAGAGAAAGCCCTATCTTTACCAAGCTTTCTCAGTTTCACTTGAGGATACCTGCAGACACCATGGTTTCAGTCATTTCTTTTTGCATGTACTAACTGGCTAATGCAAGATTTGAAATTTCGACACTTTAACGTAAGTCAGGAAGAACACAACAAAACAATTCAGACATGAATCAGGAATTCTGCATAAAGCAAATTAAATTGCTTTTGATTTCAAGCATTAGTAAAACGTTCATACGATAGATAGATACATAGATAGATCACTTTATTTATCCCAGAGGGAAATTCATATATTACAGCAGCGGCAGCAAAAGAATAATATTTTCAGTATTCCTATTACAGTATTCCAATGAATAGGTTTTCCTATTCATTGAACGTTATCATTTACATCATTTGAACGATTTAAAACTTGAAGGCTGACTGTAATGCCAGCTGAAGCGAAACTATCCT